TCCTGATTCACCTTTCCTTGAATTGGCGGGAAAAAACGCATTTTTACTAGTGCTATAAATATAGATGGTGTTATTTTTAACTGCAAATTAGGATAACGTTAAATATTTTCGTAAATCAATGAAAAGGGTGAACGGGCGAGACAGGCAGTACTGTAATTGGCTCATTGGATACTTAGTACAAGTGTAGCCATCTATGTGTAAAAACAATCGAACAAGTCGACTCACAGTGGGCATGGCATGTACGTACATGCCATCCCCGGTGGCAATGGGTTAAAGTTCAGCCAACTTAAATAGCAACCCACCCCATGCACTGTCAAAAAAAACAATGAAGTATTGACTCATCATACAAACAGCATGCACTCTGTTTGATAGTGGATATTGCAAAACATGGAACAATGTCTTATCCACCCAGGGTACACTGCTTACTCAACTCATAGATACTTTGAAACTTCAACTTAACAAATAAGGGAATGAAAGCTCATCATTAGTAACACTAAACATTTTCAGGCACAATAGTATAGGTCCTTCAGTAACATCAATTTCTTTGTAAGGAGTCCCTTCTCTTCTTTTTGCTCATATTCTATCAACATGCTAATTTGTTTGCAATGAAATACTACAAGATGAGTTTTGTATTTAGTCCTGAACTGTACAAATTTGTTGAAGCTGAGTTTTCAAGTTCTAATAAGGACAATATCTTTATATAAAAACTGGGCTTGCTAATTGGCTGGGAGTGGGCTGTCTGAAGCTTAAAAGGTTTTGTAACTCGAATGATTATCTTGGTCACAACAAGGACTGATACTCACTCATTTAAATGTATGAAGATCTAATACTGGTAATTTTATAATTGTTCTTTTAAAAATATAAAACACATAAATCATTAGATATTATCACAAAGATTTATAAGCATATAAAAGAATCATCAATATGAAATCATACAGTATAAGATTGCCCTCTACTTTGATTAACCATATCCAGAAGACTACACAGCAGTTTAAAAAGATTTCAGTAAAATATTGAGTCAAGATTTATGAACAAACTGCAACAACAGTTCTTATAATGCCTTAGTATATAACTCTTTGCTATTTTTTTCATAAATAACTAGGGCTTGCATAAAGATGGAACTGATTATGCTTGATATATTTTACAACTTCATATCATTGACACACTTTTCTCTCTCCACAGCTCTAGGATAATGCACTGGCTATATATATAACAAGAAGAAAGGCTGTCTTTTTCACTTTATTTCTTGATTCAGCTATTATGGTGAGCCATATTTTAATTAATACTTTGTTTGGTGCAAATACCCTAAACCCTCTTTTAGTCCAACAACACAGAATGCATCTTCAAGGTTCCTGTAGTGTCTGTGACCATCCTTCTCAAATATAGAGCTTTAAGATGCCATATATTAAAAAAAAAAGTGTCATTTGCATACATATTTCTCATATTTTTTTAAAATATGGCAAAATTTAAGTCTAAATTGAATCTGTTAATGCATTCTGCTGCATAAGACACTGAAAAGATGAGATTGTCAGGGCTAAAATGTGCACAAGACACAATATCATGACTAAGACCCAGAGGTAAGAGATATGCTAAAGTGGTTCTTCCAGTTAGCAGTCCACACCTGATTGTGACAGGTAAATATAGAAGGAAATACCAAATATCTTTATATATCATAATAACCTTTGTACAAGTGTCCATTCATTAGTACTCCTTCATAAATAACAAATAATGACTATTTACCAGTTTGTGATGAGCTTGAATAAGTCATGCAACTATGAAGACAGATTTATCATATGAGGATTCACTGTAATGAATTGAAGAGAGTTTTTAAAAAGAGAATCGGAAACTGGATCTTATCAATTCCTATAAATACAGTCACCTATAGATGCCACATCATCAATATTGATTTTTAATGTGATGGTAATGTTTCCCATAAATTTTATGTGTAAGGTGGTTGTAATTTCAACCACCAAGTTTAAACAAGATTCTGGTTATTAAAAAAAAGCATGAGTGTGTGTGACATTTATAAAAAAAACTTCAAAACAAGTATCTTCTTTGACTTGACTATAACCTCACTGAGTGAATTACTATTTTAGTACGCAATGATGTAGTTATCACAAAAAAATAAATAATAAATAAAGGAAACCCATGATAAACGATACATAACCACAATCTACAGGTAAACTCTATAGGTCGCCATCTCCCTGTATACTTGGAATAATCAGGAACTTAATAACACATGGCACCCAAGAGCCTCGAACCTGGGTGGCTTAGCACACTGTTACCACTTTAGATGAAGAAAAAAGGGGAAGAAAAGATGATAATAATACTGATATTTAAAAGTCTAACGGTATCTTCAATACATATGCTTTCAAAGCCTGAGTTAAGGCTTGCATTTCCAAAGATTAGTGATTGCTTTTTGTTGTTCATACTAACTTTGAAGTTCCAAACACATATAGGAACAATCTAAGATGTTGGGATCTAACACTTTTATCTTTCCAATCTTTTAATTATCATCATGAGTAATATAAGAGATCTTGTCAGAATTAACACCTAAATTGACTAGAAATACTTATGGCTTTCAAATCCCAGACTGAGATGTTGAAAGAATCATACATCATTAAATAAAGAGAATTAATATATAACACCATTTCTTCCCAAAGCCAAATTTCAGTGTATATTAGCACCTGCAGAGTCCCCTCTTAGACTATTCCACTCTACCTTTTCATACCATTAACTGAAGCCTAAGATATACTAAATAATATATCACATGTACTCTTCAAGTACGGAAGCCTTACAAAACTGCTTCATTAAAGACTAATACACATATCATATCTAAGAACTCTGACATAACCATCGTAACATAACATAAAACTACCTACCATGGTAGGTTTTTATTTTCATTAAATATACATCTTCAGATAATAAACTTCAAAATAGAAATTCAACCTGAACTATATAAATAATCAGCAATGGTAACTATAAGTCTAATATACACACTAGTGCCTCCCCAGGTTGAAGGGTGATACTGCGGAACTTGACATATCCCGAGTGGCCGTGCGAAGAGGCTAAAACCGAGCCTCCGAAATACAGGTGGGATAGGTCTTTGGTGAGGATATTCTGCCCGAGGTTTGCCACGACCGCGAACTGGTTCCGTCGGGGAAAGAAGCGGTCAATGACAATAAGGTCTGCATCAGCATAGCGGACCTGGGCGGGAAGGAATATTTTTAGTTGGAGATTATAATGTTTGTTTATCTAACTATTTCTACCTTAGATTAATAAAAATAATATTTGTATTACTAATCTATATCAGAAACAATAAAAAGTAAAATAAATAATAAATAAAATTATAGGGAGAAAAAGATGAGATAGAAAACAAAACTGAATAGCGTCACAGTCTCTTACCCTGTAATTTGAAGTCTTAGTTGGATGATAGTCACCCTTATAGTCGAAGATTCCATTGATGTACATAGGGACCTGTAACATTGAAAAACATTGATAACCCTTTACTACTAAGATAGTATCACATATGGACACAAATATTTCCAAAGGCAACAGTTCACAAAGTAGGACTAAAGAGTTATTTTTAAGTTAATCACAATGCATTGCTATAAGTATGATTGGTTAAATACGTTTATTTTTTTTGGCAAACTGGATAAATAAGTCATAAAGGAAATCTTTATGAAATTCTGCTTTTAATGCAGTGATCCTAGTTGTTTATGCTTTATAAGGCTGTAGAGGATTAGATAATGAATAGATAAGAGTGAATTAGAAATTAAGGATGACAGTAACTACTTCTATACTTCTAAATAATATAACTGTACATATAACCCATCTTTCTCCCTCCACATTGATGTACACATACTGTTGTAATTAAGAACATAATGCAAAATACCTTACCTTTTCTTGTCGAGCAGTGACCATTGCTTTGAGTGCAGCAATTGTATTATTCTGAGCATCGACATTACCCTCCTCCCAACCTTTGCTCAGACTTTGCCAAGGTTTTGCAGAGCTGAATCCTGCATTAACCTTTTCATTCCATTGCATAATAGATGACCATCCATTGTCCTAAAAAAAGAAAAAAAAAGAAAAAGAAAAATCTTTATAAAAACATGAACATAAAAACCATGACCTATCATCATCTACACAATGGTATGTAAATCTACTACGAAAGTACATTCCTCTTCCCCCTTACCTTTGATGCTTCTGAGAGCCCAATTTCATCTCCATAGTAAAGAGTTATGGTCCCTGGGAAGAAGAGCAAGAGGAAGGTCCTGCCAAGAGGGTGATTGTGCGTGAGGTCGCTGACACGCTCCCTCCCGATGCCCCCCATGTTCCAGTTGATCCAGGGGAGGGAGGCGTGAGCATCCCAGGCAGTGGTGGCGTTGAGGACGTCTGGTATGGTCTGAAGGGAAAAGCAGTCATGATGCAGAACAGAGGAAGGAGGAGGGAAGGAGGAAGGAGGAGGGAAGGAGGGAGGGGGGAGGGAGGGAGAGAGAGAGAGAGAGAGAGAGAGAGAGAGAGAGAGAGAGAGAGAGAGAGAGAGAGAGAGAGAGAGAGAGAGAGAGAGAGAGAGAGAGAAATACAATAAATTTACAAAACTATGACTGAAGAACAGCAAACCACTAAAAGTGAAGTAACAAAAAAAGACATGAGGCAACTTTGGGGACACTGACTCACCTGGACTGACCCTGTGAGATCCACTGGAGCATCAATCAAGTCCACAAGATCCAAGACACGATCAAGATGCATCAAGTTTGACATCTTGAGGCTAGAGAGGAATTCAAGTGGCACCATCATAACCCTGTGCTCTATGCCATGACTAAAGTGGTCAAGGGTATTCCGCCACTCGTGCATGGCATTCAGAAGCTCAGGATCATTCATAAACTGTTGAACAAATTTCTTCACTTAGTTAGGTATATCTATCCAGCTTTTATCTATTTCATATAATCTATAGGTTTTGTTTATTACAGTTGTTAGTATCTTGTAGGTATCTGCTA